ACCCAGCACGTCCAAGGAAGCTTACGCACCCGCGCCAGAATTGGAAGCCCGACTGCAGGAGGTGAACTCTCTCCGAGCGGAGCTCGCCACCCAGCGAGCGCAAACGCAGAAGGAATTCGCCCTCGTCGAGGACCTCATCCGCTTCGGCCCGCCCGGCGAGCGCTCTCTGCTCCTCGAGGAAAAGCAACCGCTTCGGCGGCTCGGTGATGTATGGACTCGGATCAGCGGCGACTATCTCGTCTGCGGCACTGTGCTGGTCAACATAGCCGGCGGGCATCGACTGACCATTTGCAAGGAGGTGTATCCGATGGTGTTTTTGGAGCCCCACATCGACTTCTGCATGGAGCACCGCCTGTACGAGCTGCCCCTGTTGCCCAATGGCCAACCGCCAGAGGATTACGACCAGCTGTCGCAGTTCTGGGCTTGCCAGGATCAGCACACCATGCGTCTCAAATGGCGTCCGGTGCCCAAGGCGAGGCAAGTGCCGCCCGAATCCTCTGTCGCGATGGTAGTGCGTCTGCGTCTGGTAGATCTCCTCCACGCGGAGCAACTCCATCTGATGGTGCAGTACGAGGTTGGGGCCACAGCGGAGAAGAATGCGTGGCCTAGGCAATTGCACCTGATTACCTTTGACGTCAAGAAGCTGCTGGATGCCACAGAGTCACTGGCTCCCACCTTTTCAGCCAAAACGCTGCACCAGGACTTTCTGGCCGTGATTATGACGCACCAAGCACACTGCTCACTGAAACTAGTATTCCAGGCGGCCGAAGATTGCACAACGTTTGAGCAGCAGCTGGTCTCCAAGCTGCAGTTCGAGTTAATAAAAGCCCAGGAGCCGGAAAAGGAACAGAGTGAGTGGTTACCATTCAGGAAGGCCCACTGGTCTATACTAACACCTTATGTTTTTCAGAATCTGACCTGCTCGACGATTCGTGCCCTGACTCACCCTTTCAGTCCTCCACCGCTGACGCCGCCGCCGCCAATCCTGTCCAGCGCATCTTCTACAATCGCCAGCCAATGTCGCAGTGGTGTGGCACTCTGCTCCTCCGCGACGATCCCGGTGAGCAGTGGCATGTGTACGCCCAAACGGACGACCGACTGCGCCTGTTCATGCATCGCCTGATGCGCGATCTCCTCCTGCTGCACTGCAATCTTACTTACCTGGGGGTCAACGAGCCCAACTTGTCGGTCGCCGATGCTAACCTGGAGTTGGAGAAGAGTCTGCAGGAGGAGTTGGAGGCCTGGAAGGTGGTGCTGAAGCCGGCAGCCAGTGTGGAGGAGCGCCGCAAGCAGCTGACGCATCTCTACAAAGTACAAATGGCTAGCGATGTGCTGGCACAAATGATTTTAAGAAAAACGGAGCAGAATAAGGAATAGATTCCTTTTTCTAGGTTGGTTTTTGTTTAATTTTTACAAAAACCACCACTTATTGATGATTTTTTTGAAATTTTTTAAGCCACGGCTTAGTGATATGTATGTGAATTGTATAACATTCCCTTTCATGAAGTGCTTTAAGCATGAATTTTTTATATGAACAATTTATTGTATTGCATTTTTGTCAGAGTTTTACATCTACAACTTAAAGCATTTATGTGAAATTTAAAGCATTTTTGATTAGGATTGGAAAATTCCTATATAAAGAGTATAATATATGCATGATTCTGAATATCATTGTGTCCTAATTATTCGTAACATTTACAACTTAGTGCTAAGTGGACTTGGTCTGGCTGGAATTGATATGAGGGCGCAGTGGCATCCCGATTCTCATGTGCTGATGCGCCGTTGCTGCTCCTCGCTCTTGATGATGCTGTCCAGGACGTTCTCCAGGTTCTGAGTGGCCGCCGACAGTTCGGCATTGTCGCTGTACGAGTCCTCGACGATCTCCTTGACCTTGTGCAGCAGCAGCTTGAAGTTCACCATCTCGGTGTCGCGACCTTCCCCTCCGCTTGCTGGCTGCTGCTCCAGCAGGGCTCCCAGCGGCATGGGCAGCGTCAGAGGAGCTGGCAGGGATCCAGGTCCTGGCTGCCCACTCAAGCGACGCTGGTCGAACCACAAACTGATGTCGTTGAGTGAATAATCCGATTTGTTGGCCTCCAAGTAGCTGCGATTCAAGTCGGCGCCATTAACTATAATATACAGAATGTTTTAGTACTGGTTTTAAGCATTGTATTTGATTGTCTTCCTACTGGAGTGCGTGAGGTTGGCTCCTACGGGTGCATACATATCGAAAATCTGCCTCTGCGGCGTGCTGGAGCTGAGAAAAGTGGAGCTGACCAAAGGAGCAGTTGAAGGAGCCACCACAGGAACAGGAACAGGTGGTGAAGCTGCCACAGAAGAGTGCTGCAGGAAAATATAAGTAATTAGCTCAGGCTAACAGCTGAATTCAGAGCAATCCCACCGATAGCTGTCGCATATCCTCGATGATCTGCAGCAGAAAGCTCTGATGGGCGCTGAGGAACTGCGAGATTTCCGAAGTGGAAGCTGTGGCCACCGTTTGCAGCTGGGTTTCAAGTTTCCTAGAAGACAAGGAAACTTTAAGCTCGGCAATATCGGAAGTGTCAAGTGTAAAAACCTACGCATTCTGCAGCAACAAGCGGTCAATGATGGACTGCAGCCTGCTGGAGGCCTTGCTGGCTAGCCCCGTCAGGGAGCACAGCTCCTGCTGTTGCTGGAGGATCACAGTCCGGTCTTTCTCCTTCTCCTGGCACTGACTACGCACACTACGCGTCTCCGCGGGAATGGGTGCGGCAGCCGATTGTCCCAGGCCGGCACCACTCTCCTGGGCATTGCAGAAGCCACGACGCTCCTCCTCGTGCCGCTTCCTTGGCATCACCAGCCAGCTGCATAGCTTGGCCAGGTGGCGAGTCCAACGCAACGGCGGCTGATCCTCCACGAACACCTCGCACATTCGATGCCCCGGCTCGTGGCGACCACCGGCAAAGCCCACCGCAAAGCAGGGCAGGCACAGGGATATATCCCGGCACACCTGGCACCGAAAGCGAATGCCCACAATGTGCTCCTTGCGACAGCCGGCACAGGAATTGCTGTGTATCAAATGCTCCGTGTCCTCGATGCGTTTCACCAACGCCAGCAGATTGCCATAGATGAGGAACCGCGTCTGGACACCCGCTCCCGTCCAGAGTTTGTGGAACTGCGGCTCGGCGAGTCCACCAACGCCGTGTGGACAGCGGGCAAAGCTCTGCTCCATTGCCAGTGGAAGATTGTGGGCGCCATAGGCCTTGGCCTCGCCCAAATAGCTGAGCAACTTGCTCAGCGTGGCCAGGAGCTGCTCGAAGGCATATCGGGAGATAATCTGCGACTTGGGGTCCGCCAGCAGGGCAAAGAAGTCGCCCACCAGGTGATCGCTGCTATACAGCTTGCAGAGCATTATGAAGGTGATCTTGATCTCCAGCAGGGATATGGAATGCCTGCGTTGCCTAGTTGGAGAAAAAGGGTATTACATACATATGATTCAGATGGAAGCAAGATAACCCACGGATCGTAGACATTCCAGAAGAAGTTGGCCAACAGGCCGGTGACCCTGTCCAGTTGATAGTCCGCATCCTGGTTGAAGTGGCCCAGCTTTTCGCAGGCAAAGTACACATCGTGGAGCAGGGAGGTCAGCTGGAAGGGGGGAACCATCAGCTCCAGGCCGCCGTTCAAGTTGTGGCGATCCAAAATGGCCAGAACAAGCTTGTAGGGAATTTTAGTGGCTGCAATTTAGAGGTTAATCCTGGGCGGCGGACATACAACCATTCAATACCCACTGTGGAATATCTTTTGTAGGGCCACAAATTTACTGGCACACCGGTAGACGGTGTACTTGTAGTCCCCGTAATCCCTCTGCAGATCCTCCATAATGGTGGTCAGTTCTTTGTCCACCTGTTGCCCTTGTCCTTGGCCCCCTTGGGTGCCCTTTTCCCGGGCTAGGGACGCCACTGCCTCGGCGCTGTTGCGCATTTTGGTGAGCTGCACTGGCACCGACATTCCCAGCATCTCGAGGGGTATTTAATTTTCTTTATTTTCCGCTATTTTCAAACCTTTTTGAGTCTCCTTTGTGACCGCGTCGTTTCTCGCGATCTCTTCCTCTTCCGTTAGCGCAAAAGTCAAATTTATGCGCCGCTAGGTGGCAACGCCACCGGTGTTATCGACATCAGTTCGCTTAGCCGTTACAGTTTTGAATTGGATTCAACGAGGGAAAAGTCGGCTTAAAGCTGATTTTAAGGCAACTATGTTAAAGTTTAGAGTGGACCTTTTAGACGGCATTATTTCATTAAATATTTTAAGAGATGTGTTAAAATTACTAATAATAGGACAAAAAATACAAAATTACACACTTTTTGGAGGGCAATACAAAAATAATAAGGCACATCAACATACATTTTTGAAAACAATATTTAATTTATAAATTTTGTAATAGCACATTTTGGTTGATTTTAAAAATATTTATTCTAATCAAAAGGAATTTTTTGTTAAAAGTTTTTTTTACTATAAACTAGATTTTAACAAATTTAAAAAAGGTAACTTTTACTACAACTAGATATTAACCATTTGTGAATTTTACTTTAAAGACAAGTTCTAAGTTAAGTTGAAAAGTACGTTATAAATTATACTAAAATATTCTATAGATTTATTTTATTTACAACTCTTTCTAATAATGCTTATGTGCAGAACATTACAAACAAAATGGACTATATTTTAAATTGAATTACTTTTCTAAACCATTTTACCACTTGTCTACAAACATTTGTTAAAATGTGAAATTAAAGTTATAAAGAGAACTGTCATAAACATTACAAATAAAATGGACTATGTATATTTTAATTTGTATTAGTTTCATAACCCATTTTACCACTTTTCTACAAAGAATTGTAAAAATGTGAAATAAGTTATAAAGAGACACCCAAAAATAAGGCTGGTTATTCAATTTTAAAATTAAATATATGTTGTATGTATATTTGCATCATTCCATTACAATTACATTAACTTACGCTATTTTGTTTTTTTTTTATATATTTTGTTTTTGTTTTAAAATAGTGGGGGCATCTTATCATTTCGTTTCTTGTTTTTTCTTTGCTTATATCAATATTGTAATATGCCAAGTTTATATGTGAGTGGGGGAGGCGGGGCGAAAGGGGGATTGTAATTAGTTTATTTAACTTTTTTTTGTTGCCTTTTGAAAGCATTGTCCCGCTTGCGTATGCGAATCCACGACATACGTATATATAAAGGTTTGTGTTTTTTAATCACTAATTATCATATGTGTTTGGGTCGCTATTTATTTATAAAGATCGTTCTTTATTTGCAATGCGCATTTGCAATTTATGCTAGGGGGCGTGAGGCGAAATTCCATCGATTTGCGAACTCAAAAATACGGCTACATACATTCGTAAATGATGGGGGACATAAGGTATAAGGTGTTCTCTTAACTCTCCTCCTACTAGGTCCACTTAAATCCACTCTCTGTTCAGCGGTTTTCGAATAAAATCGGTACAGGATGCAACGCAAATTGAGTAATTACAAAATATATATATTCTGATTGCGGACCGCTGGACGAAAAGTGGTCCCAAATGGACGCTCGATTTTTACAGGTTTTTTTTTTAACTCACTTAATTGCACATACTAATAGATCCTATATGTATAAAGTTCCATTCTTTTAGATTAGAGTTTTCGCTGCGACTGTTTGTTGGCTGTGGTTTTGGTTCATTGATTGATTTGTATTTGCAATTGGTTTTTTTCTTGTTTGATTTTGTGTTGTGGCTTTGATCTCAGATAAGAATTTGAAACCTGTATATATATTATGTCATTATCGTATGGGGGGGTGGGCTTAAAGTATAAAAAGGTTTGCAAATGAATTTAGCATTCGTTTATTTTAATTTTAACTAAAATCATAAGGTACAAAACAAAATCACCTCGACATGCACAGGGTTTTGTTCTTCGTTTTCTTGGGGCGGTAAGTTGCGCTGGATCAGAGTTGAATTGAATAAATTATGCTATGCTAAAAGTTGGGCTACAAGGTTTCTCTGTTCAATTAGCACTTAAATACGTTATCGTAGTACTCGTATAATTAATATTAATTAATAGTGAAAGACATTTCTCGCTAAACAAAAATCAACTAAATGTAAACATAAAAAAACTTGTAATTTTATAATTTTTTGTTTGTTTGCGATTTGTTTGTAAGTTCTTTTTTTTGTTTTTCGTTTTTGTGTATTTAATTAATATATAAAATTAAAATATATGTAAGAGAAGTCATTTTTGACAAAAAAAATTGTTGCTTCGTAGACGGTAACATAGAAAATTATGTTATTTTGTTTTTAGGTGGCGACGACGTCTTGCACAGGTTTCTCTTCTTCTCTTGGTGTTTATTAAAAATTGGTTTATAATATATATATATATATATTTCGTTCGATACATATATATAACCGTATAGAAGTGTGAGCGCGTGTGTGTTTGGTGTGTACATTTCGCAAGTTAGACTTCAGCGTAGTGCGCACTTGAAACAATCAAACAACGATTTAAAGCAGACAAAACAGACGCAGGCAAGCAGATCCCTGGGTTCGGTACATCCGTCTCTTTCCTTTTGGAGGATAGTTCCGTGAGATACCTTCACTTCCCCCAAGAGCTGGACATATGCACTACACATTGCATAAACTCTTGGGCAAAGTATGGGAATTAACCTGGGGTATCTACTTGCAAACCGGCCTTTTGGTGGGTGTGGTTTTTCGCGGTTTCTAGTTTTTCAACCTGCGCTGTCTACGCTTTTGTGTGTGTGTGTGTGGGTGTGTGTGAGAGGGGGCGTGTCAGTTTTGTAGGCGTGCCAGTGAGGAGAACCCATTTAAAAACGATAATTCTCATCGGCCATGTGCACGGCCCACATAAATTTGGTTCTTTGCGTTTTGTTAAATATCTTCTCGATCGGCACTCCGTTCTTTTTACACCTGCAAATACATCCAACATTAGCTTTAACTTTAGCGGAATTGGGTGAGGAGACACTCACCAAGCCACCGATATGCGTGGATCGAGATAGTTTAGCTTAGATGTGCCCAGGGCAATGGTCTTATTCTCGTCTCTATCAGTCTCTTGTAATTCTAGTTTCTTCAGCTGATCCTTCAGGCGCTCCAGCTGTTTGCCCTTCTTGTCGGCCAGGACCTTCTCCTTGACGGAGCCACGTTTGGCGGCCTTCTTCATATCCTGTCAAAGAACATTTTACATTAGTTATATAATCGCATCCATAGCATGTTCAGTATATACTCACATGATATTCGGCCTCGCAATCGTCGATGGCATCACGCTTGGTCTTGATCTTCTCCTTCAGGTTCTCCATCGACTTCTCGTGGCCCTTGGGCACGGAACGCTGATGGTTACAGAGGATGGCTACGGCACGATTGGCGCGATTGTAGGCCAACAGCTTTTCCGGTACCGTGGCACTCGGATCGGTAAGCAGATCCAGCTGGCTTTGCAGTGTTTTCGAAGCGTTATACGTACGGAATACCTTGGCCGTAAGTCCTGTTTTGGTCATAAAAATTATACTAATAAGTATAGGAAAACAGACCTTAAAGACAGATATAAATACGTACCGTCCATCAGCTCCTTGAGATGCTCGTTAAGCACCTGAGTGTTGAGTCGATCGAAGAGGTCGTCGCCCTCCTTCTTGTGCTCCATAAACAGCTCGAGGTTCTTGAAGACGCGCTTCTCCACCTCGACCTCGTTGTAGTAGCGAATGGAATCCTTACCGGGAAAGTCGAACACCACCACGTTCTCCTTGCCGTTGAGCTCCTTGTGCAGCTGGACGTGCTCCACGCGCAGCGAGCAACAGCCCACGGTATCCGCCTGATCCTCATCCTTTTCGTTGCCCGCTCTCAGTGCCAGTTTGTCGATGAAGTATAGAGCCACCGCCCGCTGGCGAACCCTCATCTCCTTGGACTTCCACTCGTCGCGATAGGTGGCCCGGATCTTATCGATAACCTTGTCCAGGCGGCGCGCCGTCTCGTACTTGATGTGATCCTTCTCGCCCTTGAGTTTCGAGGAGGGATTCAACATGATGTACTTGACTTGTCCCTGCACGTTCTCGATCCAGGAGGCCAGCCAGGTGACGGTATTGTCGTGGCGCACTTCCTTCCAGCGCGATCCACTGGGCGGCGACGGCACCTTTGAATCCTTGCCACAGTTGATGGACACATCGCTGGCATGGATGCGCCGCTTGATCATGCCCATTTTGGGATGCTCGCCACGGCCGCGGAACAGACCCGGCGGCTCCAGCCGGAAGTTACCAATCTTCTCCTTGTGCCCGTCAATCATACAGAAACCAAACTCCTTGATCAGGGCCTCGTTCTCGTTCTTCTTGACCAGCTTCTCCTCCTTGGTGGCCGCCTTGCGTTTCTCGGACTCCGCCTGGAAATAGTTGAACATCTCCTGGAAGTTGCACTTGCGGAAATCCTTGATGATCTCCTTCTCCTTGGACGTCATCGACTTGCGGAAATCCTTGAAGAAGTTATTGTTGAACACATCCTTGGTGCAGTAGTCGTGGTTCAACATCTTCGCATAGAAGGTGGCCGCTTCCTCCGTTTCCTCGGAGAGATCAAGGGGCTTGCCATCATAGTAGAACCGCACGTTGCGTGGCACCCGCTCGTATGGAGGAGCGAACACGGGACCCTTGTGCTCCAGCGTTGTCCACTTGACGCCATCTGCGCGCTTTTCCTCCTCCCACCTGAAGTATAAAAATGTTTCTTGTGAGTAATTCATACTATTTGTGATTTGTGAAACTTGGATAAGCGACAAATTTTTATGTTATTGGGGAATTTTCCCCTTGAAAACTAGATCATTTTAAGCTTTGGAAGAATTAATAACAGAAATACATCTGTTCCTCGGTAATAATTCAAATTTTTTCGAATTACCCACTTATTTAGCATTAATAAGGGTAACAAATAGGTAGAAAATATTTAAAATATTGGGCTACATATAATGCTAATTGTTTGTATTGTTATTATAAATATAACCCATTTTTATAATGGTATTTAGTTTTTTTGGATCTTTTTTTCTATCATTTGATTTTATATTTATATTATTATTATTTAGGGATTTGGGACTACATTAAATGCTTATTTTTTGTATTTTTGTTGTTAATATAACCCGGACTAATCCTAAATTTTAATATTATTTAGCTGTTTTCTATTTTCTTTATTTATATTATTGGTATTCAGGGTTTTTAATAGTTAATTTGCATACAGGTTATATATGTTTTGGTATTTTTGTATACCTTTATTTTTTGCAAAAAACCCTTATAAATGTTGCCCTGGTAAAATCTAATTAGACGATTATAATCATTTGTTGTTCTTGGCACACCCTATTTCAGTGGAGCACCCTAATCAAGTCGCACCATCGAATTTGCTCTTCCTGGACGCTCTTCCGTCGCACTCTTCTCTTTTTGCCCGCAACCGTGGCTATGCCCACGATCTGCTCCCTGAAAACCAGGCAGACACTCCGATTTCCGAATAGACGTACTGCCGCCAAGGGGCGCCACACAGCCGATGTCATTTGCTGTTCAAAATTCTTCGATTTTCTTTAGTTTATCACATTACGCAAAGTGGCGGCGTTCGAACCTAACCTCAAAGTTTGCCAGTGAGTGTATAAATGTGTGTGTGTGTGTGATTTCGTTTGGCTCAGCTGTTTTTTCAGCATGTTGGAGCAAAAGGGGGGAAGTGGGGCAGCGGTGGTCTGCGCATGCGTTTCGCGGCGAATGGCACAGTCGCACAGTGGCTGCCACCAATTGCTGCCCACATGCGCCCCACTGTGGATTTGAATACACGCGGCACACAACTTTCGGCAGCCACGGCGTATGACTTTCGGAAATGTAGGTCAGTGACATTCAAACTTCTCACGCAAAACACATGGCAAGTAGAGACACACACACACCTTTAGACGTGTCACGTCACACGTTGTTGTTTTTGTAACCGGTACTTGTCAAATTCATGTAAATATGTAAAAAAAGCTTGTACATTTATAAAAATTCGAACGCTTTCCCTCACAATAAAATTAAAATTAAAAACGCTGTGGGAGAGCGCGAGTTACCTGTTTCAATGATTAATCAAAAAAAAAAAGCCTTTCACCTCGAGTAACCTTTTAAAAAAGCCATATTATTACAGTATCTCTGTAAAAATGGTCATACACTTCAAAAATATCTTGTATTATATTATATTATGTCTCAAAAAGAGATGTTTTAGTTAGGCCAGTATAAGAAAAATAGATTTTAAGTTTAAGTTCTTTATAAATAATATTATTTCTGATAGAAAATCGATTTTCCACAATGTTATATAGGAATGGTTCATAAACAAAAAGTTAAGAATGGAAGAGAACATTTTTGATTTTTTTAAAATGATAACTCATATTGTTTTAACATAATCTATATTTTAAAACATTTTTTTTACTACTTCTGATTATAATTTAAAAAAAAATTAATCAAATTATATTTTTTATAAAAATTATAACAAGCTGATAGGCGCAATATACAACTATTTGGGATCAACATTAGACATTTTATAATTACCGTATCCTACAATACCTGGTTGAAAATAAATAAGGATTTCGAAATAGTAATATTTATGCGATGCAACTAGCCTAAAGGTTATTAATATCTAACAGATTGGTCTGATGCCTAAGAAACCATATGTATGATGTCTAAGAAATAAGATAGCTTTACTAGTATCAGTCAAAATAGTGAAATTGATGTAACAAGAGATGAATTCTCTTCATAAAAGCCTTAAACAAAATACTATTTACTATCAAGTAGAGGGAAACTCACCATCTCCACACCTCCTCCTCCTCCTCCTTGACCTTCTGGCGTTTGGTGGGCGATGTGACCTCGGTCTTAACCTCGGCTTCCTGAAAGGCAAATGCACTTAGATATCATCTGTGTTCCTCGAACCCGACATATCCAATTCCTACCTTTTTGATCTTTTTCTTCTTGGGCTTGACGCTGCCGTAATCATCCTCGGCCTCCTCCTTGACCCGCTTCTTCTTGGACTTCTCCTTGGGTTCCTTCTTGACCTTCTTGCGCGCCAGCAGCGGAATGTCGTCGTCGTCGTCATCCATGCCGCGATCGGCCTGATCGGGTGCCTCCTGCTTGCGCTTGCGCATGGCCAGCGGCAGATCCTCCTCGTCGTCGTCCATCTCGTCAGGATCGTTCTCATCCTGATCATTGTTGTTCATGGTGCTATCATCTTCGGCGTAGCTCTGCTCGTGCTTAACCTCGAACGGCGGCTCGTCGGCGCGAAACTGGGACATAGAGTAATCACAGGAGCTGGCCTGCGATAGATTGTTGAAGCTATCGTCCTCCTTCTTGATGTCCACAATCGATTCCTCGTAGCCGTTCTTGTAGTTGATGCCACCATCGTTCCCATTGCCATTGCCATTACAATTGATGGCGGCTGTGGCCTGATAGCCATCGAGCTGCTGCATGTGAAATGGATCGACCGGACCCGAGTGCATCAACGGTTGGGAAACGGGCTCCGGTTTGACGAACACTCCATCGTACGATGGCGGATCCTTCGACGAAGAGCTGCTGTGCCGCGAGCTGGAATGTTTGCTCTTGGATGAGGATGACGAGGAGGAGCTCTTATGACTGCTGCTGCTGCGCTCCTTATCACGGGAGCTGGACGAGGAGGACTTGTGCCGGCTGGAGGAGCTGCTGCTGCTGCGATCCTTGTCCTTGTCGCGTCGCTCCTTGTCCTTCGAGGAGCTCTTATGATGGCCGGAGCTGGACGATGACGACGAGGACTTGTGCTTGCTGCTACTGCTGCTGCTCCCATCCTTGTCCTTGTGACTGGACGAAGAGCTGCTGCGATGAGAGTTGCTGCTGCTGTCGCGTTCCTTGTCCTTGTCCCGATGCTTGGACGACGAGCTACTACTGCTGCTCTTGTGCCGATCCTTGTCGCTAAAAAGGGAAAAGGTGAGGGTTATTACATGTTTTATTTAATGATTTTGATCCCAGTCCTGTAGATCGTAAGAACTGAATTCTTGAACAGACATAAAGTAGGGAATAAAGACTTGGTGAATTTAGATCACTATAAGCAATAGCTCTCAAGGAAACATTTGGGTCAAATGGTCATTACTACCGTGGCTTTGTACGTGATTGAATTGAATTAAAGCTGAACTTAGTCTGTATATTTTCGAAAGGGGATTTGGCTTTGGTTTATTTTAAGTTTTACTAGCAATTTCCATAACTACTATTACCACATTACTTTGATATTGGATACTACTTTAAGGATTTAAACGAAGAAAATCATGTTCGATCTGGCAGTTTTCTCTAAATAATATTGCTTTACTTTATGCAGTCAGTTCTTTCATACGACTTAAGTTTCTGTTTTTTTAAATTACAATGAGTAAATGGGCATGTAAGCTGATTGACAATAAGATGTACAAGATTTCATATGATAAAACAGTCATAATATCAATTACAATTGGTAGTTTTAAATGTTTCAGGTGCTGCTAGACAGTTTTCCATATTTTCTCTGGGTTATGTATACAAATATAGATATTGGGTTCAGTTCAAATGCATTATAAGATAACAATCTATACTTGTTTGGTCTAAGTGGAATGAAAATATTGTACATGTGATTCTAGACAGGTTTCTTTCTATTCTGACTATCCCTTTTTACATGAATATTTATCATTAATAACTGGCGTAACTTGGTTGCCAATTAACCCAACTGCTTGAAACCTTGGAATTGACCTATTTTAAGTGTTCCAGATGGTTCTACAGGAGTTTGCCTCGAAAACGAATGGTTGTTTTCCTCGTTTTTCCGACGTACCGACTGCTGCTCTTGTGATCCTTCGACGAGCTGGAGGATCCGGAGCTCTTGTGCTCCCTGTCCTTATCACGGTGCTTGTCCTTGCTGGAGGATTTATGCTTGCTGCTGCTGCTCCCGCTGCTGCTGCTGTGGTGGTGATGGTGGTGTCCGTGTCCGTTGGTGGTCACCCCGTTGGACTGAACCACCTCGCAGCTGCCACCATTTTGTATGTGGATGTTCTGTTCGGGCGAGAGAAAGAGAGGGGGGATGAGAAAGGCGATATAGAGTTATTGGATGGACCAGCCAGCTGAAAATGTAAGAAAGTGAGTGTGTGAATCCGGGCCAGAAACCTGTGCATCCATCATGTTGCCTGAATTCTTGGCTCCCCTCTCTGCGGACCGGACTCCCCGGTGGTTTCCTCACAATTTCTGGCAATGATTTACGATTATCTCGTGTCTATCCGCTCACCACGTGGTGAAAATCAACCCTAACAAATGCCGCGTAGGAAAATTCACTTAGCACGGCCAGCAATGGGTTAATGGAAGAAGAAGCAGAGCCGGAGAGCGATGGCGACAGGAAATTGGAAATTGTACCCGAATCGGTTGGAATAGGTTAACAAAAAAAAATAAAAAAAAAACCGCTGCCAAACAATGGAGCACACACATACAAACAAATTGGAGAATACAGAAAATCTTTCTTTTTTTTTTACACTTTTTGCAGCATATATTTTTTTTTCAACGTGGGCGATGCATCAAGGCTACACACACACTTGTACACACACGGGGTTGTTGTTGTTGTTTTTCTCGTTGCAGCATAATAGTTAATAAGTGCGTTTTTTTTGGGGTGGCACATCTGTCTTATCAGACGACACACACACACATACACTGAGGGAAAAACACCTTTATATACGTATGTGCACGTATAAATTGCAAAATGGGACACTTGCAATTACATACATATACAAAAACGCTACAGGGCAACAAAAACAACAAACACATGTGATTTTGGTGCGAGAAAAGTGGCAGTATGACCGCATTTCGAGGTAATCAAAAGAGAATGGGGAAATGAAGGGTGTTATTGGGAGATAAACAAAGCAGAGATCGCGGAAATTATAAAAAAACAGATTAAACCCTTTAAGTCCAAGAAAATTAGGGAAAATCAAGAGGAAACCGAGTCAGTCGCTTAGCAAAAATACCAGTTTCGGTATTTCGCTGCGGCCACACTGTGCCAAATACATTTCGTCTGCCTCGGCCCTCCCCGCTCTCCTTTGTCACCTCCTTCGCCTTTTGCCACTTGCATTGTCGCCATTTTCGTCAATTACCTCTCGTTTTTCTCTCTGCTCTCCTCTCCCCCCGCCTGCGTTTTACGCACTCTGCCGGCAGCGACGTCGACTGCGCTGCCGCCTGCAGGCGGTACACTTGCAACTATTCTTTGTACCCCCGAAATGTATTGTACCCAATTTCGATTACCCCGTATTTTTCGTTTTCTTTTTCTTAGGCAGGCTCCCCATTCAACACGTTTGCACTTGCCTCCTTGCGGCCTTGCGGTAAATTACATAAAAAGGAAATAGAATTTTCTCTCGGGGCACTTACATTCTCGGCAGCCACATCCCCACTCATTTTGCGGCGCTCGGCGTTTTTCTTTATTTGTCGGTCTTTAGTCTTTTTTTTTTTCTTGCTCCGCACTTAGTAAAAATTTTTCACTCTCAACTCGGCTGGTTATTTCAGTTATTCAGTTTTTGTCGCAGTCGGATCGTTTGCAAGTCCGGCGGCGGGTTGGAAAAGCGCACTGGGTTTTCCGAAATGGAGCAAGCGTTTTGTGCTTCTGGCGATGCGATTGCCTGGCTTTTGGGCTTCTTTGCTATTTGCTTTTCACAGCGCGCAGCAGCCACGCGAACCCTTGCTTTTTTTTGGATCGGTGTGACCGAGGAATAGTCGGTGAATTATACCGCCGGCTTGGAAAATACCATTTTCACTTTTCAAATATACCAAAAGCACTCCGAACAGTCAAGGTGGAAAAATCTTACGCCATATTCCCACTCCAGTCACGGCGCATTGTTGAAAATCTCAAGCTTGTACGCTCTGTTAATTATAACCGTTACTCGTAGAGTGAAAGATATATTGTATTCGTTGGAAAGTATGTAACAGATACGGCCAATCCGTATGATCGCTGACATCTCGTAAATTATAAAAGCATGGACTTGGCATGCAAATTCTAGAGACTCTTGCGCGGCGCAATTCCTTTCAGCAAAGTGTAACGCTCACTCTAACGTCTACAAGTCGTTTTTCTGCTTGCACATCTCCCTTGCGCTCCCTTTAGCTGAGTAAAAAATTTAAAAGTGCCGCCAAACTGTCATATATAAAAATGTTGTATTAGTTCATATGCAATTTTTTCCGATCACTCGTTTGGAGTACCTTTTCTTGCCTTACTTTGGAGAGCTGTATAGCAACAAAAATGTAAAAATTTATTTTGTTAAATAATAACTCTATAGTTAACATTAAAGTTCACAGAAAAGATCAACTGAACCAATAAAAAAGTCCAAACATGTGTGAACACCCTAAAATAGTATGAAGTGCGTCTTCGCTAGCTTAGCCATGTCACCCACCGAACATTTTAGTGAGACCATTTCATTTATTTTATTTGGTATATTTTAATAAATAAGAATAGTATTTAAAGTATATTTCACGTGTGGTCTTACTGACAACGAACCAAAATAAAGAATCCAAAAAGATGTTTAGTTAAATTAGTTGATTATTTATGGAAAGAGAAAGAGACAGAGTGGACGAGAACCTAAAACAGGTTGCACTTTCCAGCGATCGTTCGATTTTATTAAGAGTAAGCCTTTAGTAAGAAGTCCCCAAGATCGAATTCTTCGGGAAGAAACGTAAAGGAATGTCAAAAGAAGACATCCACAGCATCGAAATCTCAGAGGAGCTAACAAAAGGAACCCCATTCTTGAATTCCTCGGAAGGCAAAGAATAGAACCGATCAGAGAAACCCAATATAGAAACAGTCCAGCGAAGAGGATCAATATCAGGGGCTCCCATCAGAATCAAACGCAAAGAAATTTTATGTGCCTTCCAAAAAAGAGCTGTGATCGTCGGAAAGGCTCTCTAAAACCTCTCATAAGCTCTATAAACCTAATCTTCGGCTATATGGTACACTGACCCACTAAGGAGATCCTAAGGAATAGCAGGTAAGTGCCCAAATATTGATCGTGTTCAATTTGGTCAGTTTTGTAACTGATAGGGCTTAAGATCTGTTATTATCAATTACAATTGTTATTATTTTTTTACCCGTTCGGGTTTCTTGGGTACCGCTATATTAACCGCTTCATTTAAACTTTCATTTTTATATCTGTTTATATCAAGACCCCCAGAACTCTTGGTAATGTCATTTCAGGGCAATGGGTAGGGGGGACTGTGAGAACGTGGAACCCTTGCTTATAGAAGAAGTGTGCAGATTATCAGACTGCGAAAGTGAGAAATTGGATGAAAAAGTAATCCCTAAAGTCAAGACGGAAGAGAATCCAGTAGAAGACGATTCTTATAGAGAGCATTTCTTCGAATGTGCCGTAAAAAACGAGCCACTCGAAGAGGACACACTTGAAGAAGACTATAATATATACGATTTTCTTGTAAAAAGCGAAGAATATGAAGATGATTTATCGGAAGAAAATTCTGAGAAAGACCCGCAACAATGTCCTGATTGTGCGACAGTATTCCCAGAAATCAAACAACTAAGAGAACATGTTCGCATTCACAACAAGTGCTCCCTTTGCCCGCGTGGTTTCGCCAGTCCAGAAAATCTAAGACAACACTTGCGAACGCATATCCCTTCAATCTCTTCAAGTGCTTCCACTGCTCGAAGACCTATAACTTGTGGCGATGTCTGAAGGCTCACCTGAAAACGCACACGGGAAAAGGAGCCTACAAATGCAACGACCTTTTCCGAGAATAAAAAACTTATAAGACATACCAAAACGCACACGCGACCGCATGAGTGTCCCACTTGCTCCAAAAGATTTGGGGACCACACGAATTTTCGCAAGCACATGGAAACGCAGCATTTGCGAAAGCCCCGCGAAGATAAACATGCTAGCTGTGAGATTTGTGCAAGGATTTTTGCGAACTGCAGCAGTCTCATGAGACACATGCACACGCATGTGGTGGATTTGCCCTCCAAGTGCATCCAGTGCCCAAGGGCATTCGCCAATAATAATAACCTCAGGCGGCACACTCGAGTGGTCCATGTGGAACCGGAAAAACGCCCGTTTCAGTGCTCCGATTGCCCAAAGGGTTTCGGATGCTTTCAGAGTTTTAATCGACATCTTAAACTTCATACAGAAAAGCCCTTCGAGTGTTCCGAATGTCCGAAAGCTTTTGCAACGAAAAAAGTACTCGATACCCACTTGAAGTGGCATTTGGCCACAAAATCGGGAAATCGTAACTACGCTTGCTAAAGAGCACGGAAAAATAGGCCTTATCTAGTCTCCATTCTCAAAAAAATAGGGATTGTACAGACGGGATGCTACTATGTATATATTGAATAGTTAAAAAAAGTTGTACTAGGTACATAAAACAATTTTATTTTATAAATACAAATATTTTTCTTTTTGTTAGACTCCTTAGCATTTTGATTTTTTTTTTAATATACTTGGATTCTTGAAAATTTCAAACTCAAAATGTAAATTAATGTTTTCAATCGAAAAATAAATATTATTTTCTGAAAACACAGGGATAAATAAAAACACCATCATAAAGGTTTTATCATTGTTTTGTATGTAGGTACACAAGTTTATTCACTAATACATTAGTTTAATATTAATTTAGATAAAAAAAAAAACAAATGCATAACAAACATTTAACAGAGTTCTCATATTTTTCGCCTAGGCTTTTTCTGGTTTTTGTGTGTGGGTTTCCTTTAAATTTTCATTTCTTGGTTTTTACATCGAACCATATATGCATCTAAGTATGTATATATCTGTGTAAATTGTACTTGGCTCACTTGCAATTGTTAGTGCACCGTGCTTGGCCAAAATCCAGCAAATCATCCGGATTTATCTTATAGCATAACAACATTAAACATCTATAAAAAGTGTTCGTACAGTAAATTTAATTTAACTATGCCACGCCCCTTTGCGTGGGCGTGTGAATATTTCAATTTATATATATACGAAACTATACCGAATTAAGTTTACGCTTTAGTTTTAGATTTACGGGTGTTTCCATGTGTGTGTAGTATGTGTGTGTATGTAGTTGGTAACAGTCTTTTATCACGTTTAGTTTTGGGCTATGCGCGTTACGCACAACGTATGGTACATAGGTATATATAGTATATTTAATGTATATTACGATTTAGCCTAATAATTGTTTAGATCCTCCCATTTACGCTAGTCATTATCTTTTGTCAGAGTTTGTTTCCGTTTCCGTCTTCAATATCGGAGTTATTTTGAATTTTCTAATAATTTTTGTTCTAGAATTAATGATTTTAAAATTTGTTTTAAACAAAAACTGTGATAATAATGTTAAATGGGTTGCCCAATTTTAAAAAACATAATAAATAAAATTCTTTGAAGCATTCGAAAACAAACCGGAAACGGAAACAGCTACACTTTACACTGGTAACTAGCTCTACATGCAGGTAAAAAGTCCTCTCTACGTGGTACATGAAGTTAAAAACAACAAACTGAATATACAGAGTGTGTGTGGGTGTGTGTGTGTGTGCGTGTGTTTGTCAGGCTCACTCATAGGTTGGGGTTAAAGGTTATCTATCCGTATCTGTATCTGTTCCGCAGCAGTTACCCATTAACCCATGGTTAATCATTAACCATTAGTTGACCAATTCTCTTCAATTAATTTGTTTTCTTTTTGGGACACTACGCTTTTTGGGACTTGAGCTGGCTGCCAGGACAGTAGTTATCACATCGATGAAACCCTTCAGTCGAGAGCCGATCTAGCTCTCTTTCTCTTCCTCTCTAGTCCTGGTCCTCCGCCTGGTTTCGATCCGACTCCGACGACTTCCGGTTGCCGGACTTGTTCTGCATCTGCACTTCGTACTCGCTCTTGATGTTCACATACAGCTCGCTTTGTTTCTGGTGCTCTTGCTGCAATGGTATGGAAAAATACATTATCTATAAGGTCTTTGGCAAAAAAATTGTAGCTTATGTGTACCCTATATTGTATTATATTTAATCTAATAAATAGTCTGAATTACTTATTCATGATGTGTTTAGCTTACCATGATCTCATCGAATCGCTGTTCGGCATGGGGCAACTCGTATCGCTGGCTCTGTTCTCGCAAGTTCCTGGCCTGGTTGAGTTGTTGGGTCAGATTTCGACCGATTTGGTCCAGAGATGTGTGTAGCACGTGCTCGATTTCTGCAGGGAAATAAATCAACGTTTAAATATCTACATCTTGGTTTCCCAATTTCCTCAAAAAAAATATTTTACGTTTAACACTCACACGAGATTACTTTACATTACTTATATTATTATTTAACCTTAAGTTACCCAAAAATTAACCACAAGTTAACAAAAGTGTATTTAAAAGGTATGAAGTAAGGTGTATTAGTTACCAAACACTGTACTAAGGGATAAGTGACCTAGAGTCAGTACATGATCCTAAACCTTTTATAATTTCACTACAATTTAACCAGAATTTAACCGGCAGTTAACCATTATGTGTTATGTGTGCATATAAGTGACCATTACTCACCAGTGCTGGGTATATAGCGTCGCTTGGCGAGCTTTTCATCGGTTTCCGCCAGCGCAGTGCTGCTCCTCTTCAGGGTGGACCCAACGGCCTGGGAATCGGGAGTGGGTGGACCTTGACAGAAGTCGCAGGGGGCATGGGATTCGCTGCAGGTGCAACTGCCCAAGGAGCTGGGCGACTTGGCCGCCGATGAATGGATACCGCGCAAATGTTTAGCCGCCGTCACATTGACTACACTGATGCTCTTCGAAATCGAGGACTTTACGGAGGAGGTTTCGGGTGGAACTAGAGCCAGGGGCGGGGTCTTGGAGCTACCTTGCCCGTGGGAGGATAGTGCCGAGGAACCATGATGCGACCGACCATGATGGCTGCCATAGGAATCGCCGACCTCGGACTTGCTGCGTGCCCCATCATCATGATCCTCATCGTCGTCCTCGTCGTCGTCCTCATCCTCCGCCTCCTCATCCTCATCGTCCTCATCATGGCCCGCATCCTCCCCGGACTTTTGCAGATTCTGGATGAGTCGCAGCACGGCCTTCTCCAGCAAGGCTGGATGTTCAGAGGCCGGCACATCGACGGTCGACTGCGGTATCTGGGTGTTGATGATCACCGAGAACTTCTTCTTCATCTCCTGCACCCGCCGCTTGCCCTCCTCCTCGCCCAGCAGCGTGTTCACGCAGACAAAGGAGTGCACCTTGTTCGTCTCCTTGTCGATCTCCAAGTAGCCCTTTGATTGCAGGTAGATGATGTTGCCGTTCCGGGTGAATAGTCGGTAGGTGGACTCGCCATACGAACTATTGCAGTCGTACACTAAGGGAAATAGTAGATGAGATCCATCAGTGATCGGTGAAATGGGGTATATATTTTTGGGGTATATCCCAACTTACTCTGCCTCAGGGCCACGATCACCCAGCGCACATCGTCGTTGTGCATGAAGGTGAACGGACTGAGATTGCGCACCTCCTCCGTCATGTAGCCGGCCACGATTCCTATCCTTTGGTCGCAGTCGATGATCCTACCGTCGATCAGATGGCGGGTCCTGTACTCCAGCGTGTTGGCATCAATCAGGCGACTGGCGATCTTTGGCGGACGGATAATTCGGGCACAGGCTGTTAGAATCTGAAGTTGGAAATATATATTACTGGATATTACGGTCTTGGTGGGGCAATCAGTAAGGGAATGTGTAAGCCTCACAAAACTCTATAGAAATTTTTAACAAAGGTGCCCAAAAGTATGTTATGATATATTCTTAGTATGGACGTTTTATGATTAAATGCATAAGGCGTTCTATTTTCTTTACAACATACTTTTAAGTGATCTAAAATCTTTAGAGATCTCTAAAAAAGAAAGCGATTATACAAAGACAAGAGAGCCCTAAGAAGCTATTTAAAGGTATAATTTATTTAACTTACGATATCGTTACCGCTGATGGTATGCAGGGGAATGACATCATCACGACCGCGAGTCCTCCTGATTAACTGCAGGTTGGAGCTGAAATGATTGGATCGTACGCCCCGAGGAGCTTCATCGCTGCGTCGAAAGCAGCCATCGATTTTGACCACTTCGTAGGCGGTGGGTTCCGATCTGGGACCCGCACGAGCCAACCTGAAAATAAATATAAGATAATATCATATTGAAAACAGGGAATTAAAACAATATCATACACGAAAGGTGTGATATTCTATAATGTTATAATAATATCATATAATATGATATGATAAGGTAAGATTTAAGTTATGATATGATAGATGATGATATCATATAATCATTATCATAAGGTATGATATAAGCTATGATATGATAGGTAATGATATAATAAGTTATGATATGATATGACTTTCACCCACCTCACTCGAAAGCTTCGTCTATCCTCACGCAACTTGCGATCGATGGCGTCCTCCTCGGACTTGCTCCGCTGGCGGGGCTCACCCTCTGCATCCGCATCGCCATGGGCGTCGAAGAGGTTCTCCAGCTCGGTGGGGATCAGCTGCTGCTTGAGCATGTTCTGGTCCTCCGGATGGGTGATCTGCATAATGCTCTGGCCGTACAGGTCCGACTGACAGTGGCCCAGGTGTTGCTCGATGCTGGACGAGATCAGCAGGATGTGGCCGTGGCAGGTGAGGGTGAGGAAGAAGCTGTCCAGCATGTCCATCAGGGTGTCCGTGATCTGCGGTCGCTGCTGCATCAGACTGTTGCCAAAGGCTACGGAGTTTAAATTACGATTAGTTCTTAAAGTTTATAGTTTTTCGATTAGTTTTTAAAAACTCTAAATATTTATATTTATTTATAGTAATATATAGGGCTATAACTTACCATGCTTCAATCGCAGGGCATGGGCGGCGAAACGCAACACGGCTGTTTTGTCCACTCGACGAGGGGACTCCGCCACATGGGGCACCATTGTGGATAGTTCCTGGATGGATCCGTTTAGTTTATCCCGACGATTCTTTTCCGCTCGATTTCGCGCCTCCCGACCACTGAAAAACACAAAATAACAAATTTGCTTTAACTTTGTGACCCTACAACAATAATATATGTGCCGCAAAGTATGCAATGCAAACTTTCTTAGTTATTACATTAATAAAAGTTCCACAAAGTGGGTCATAAAATATTGTAGCTATATTACATTTTGTATTTACCCATACATATATATTATTTATTCAAAATATTGTTTATAATTTGTCTACAATAATACAAAACAGACTTAAACTTTTTTAAGCTTGTCAAAATCTTTTAAATCAAGTTTCAACAATAGTTTGCTAAAAATATAATAGAAACTGTTAATACGTCTGTCGTCCAATTAAAAGCACAATCAATTTCCCATTGGGGCAGGTAGAGCAGTTTGGCAATAGCTCAGAAACACTTTGCATTCCAGCGATACCCAGACTAAAATGTCAGACTAATGTGGATAGTTGAACTGCGCAATGGACGGGTAATAAATTATATAGGAAGTACTGAGTGTTGTAAACGATAAGTGATCGCTCGTTGAGGTAGGGAAAGGTGCGGAGATATCTGAGGGAAAAATGTTAATGGGGGCTCCACAAAAAAGATACTTTGTAGCATACTTTTACACACCCTTATGGGTGATATCAAAACCCTCGGATGTGTGTGTTGCATAATATTTGGTTGAAAGAAGTTTATTAGAAGGTCACTACTTGTAAACATTGAGAGTGTTCCATAACCATCGCAACTATCTGGTCGAGACCATGTAGCTTACACTCGAAAGCTCGCCAGCGCCGTTTGTCCGTAAGTTGTCCGTCCGTTTCTGTCTGCACCTACTATATATACACTTATATATGGCGCATGACTGGGCATTTGTTCGGTCGTTACGCAGTCGCAAGTATTACACACTGCCCCGGCTAGACTATTACAACAAAATACCCCCCTTCTCGGTCTGTCAATAATTATCAGTTTTGCATGGGTGGCGATTGGGGGAGGGGCGATGCGATGGGGCGTTGCGATTCAAGTGCAATGATCACGTTCTGTTTGGGGCGGCTTGGGTTCGTTTCACTTGGCGCCAAATGTCTTGAACGTTATATTCTGATTGCATAAAGCCGAACACAGGAAATAAATATAAATAATAATTTTAAAGAAAATAATATAGCAGAATAATAAAAAGTTTGTTTCTATAATATCAATTAAATCATTAATCATTAATATATATGTATATAACAAAGCCATTTATATAATATGTATATAACACAGCCACTTAAAGTTCTGTAGAAAAAAATGTGTGGGAACTGTTTAAAAATATATATATAATTTTGTAAATTATGATATTCAGTATAAAGATTATTTTCTTTAAGATTAAAAATATTATTTACTATTATATTCAAAAGTCCAAAAATAGTTTTGCAAGTTTAAAAATTTCCTAAAATTAATAGTATTTAAAGATTATTTTCTATAAGATCAAAAATATTATTTATTATTATAGGCTAAATTTTGTCAAAAATTGCCATATACAATATCTAGCAAAAATGTTTTAAAAAGTCCAAAAATTGTTTTGCTAGTTAAAAAAATGTCCGAAAATTAATAATATTTAATGATATTTTTGGGGCTTATTATTTTCTGTGTGCCGCTTTTTCCATCTGCTTTTGGCTGAGTTCATGAGTAATTTATACGGAAATGTGAGATCGTTGCGTTCGATTAGCAATGGCTACTGCTGTCCGCTGCCACAATGTTGTTTTAGAACCCCCTCCCTTCAAAGGCCCCACTCCCTGCTGTCCAACCCCTATGGCCAACCCCTATCACCACCCCGCGAACTGATGTAATTTATTTTAAAACGCAATTGCAAAACAAGTTCGCAAAATACACACAGACACTGGCGAGTGGGAAACGAAGTGCAGGAGCAATTGCAATGGCAATTGCATTGGCAAAAGCAATGCAAACAGCTGAAAAAAAATGAAGAAAATGGGAAAAACAGAAAAAAAGGCATCTCATGCATAAGGAAAGTGCGCAACAGCCAAGTAAACAAACACGGCTACTTGGAAAACTATAATAACAACTTTGTGAATTTAAATATTGAATATATTTTAGGGTAACAAAATCACAAGCACTGTGGTTCTTGAAAAGTTAGGAAAAAAGTTGAATGAAACTTAACAATAGATCGATAAAAAAAAGGGGACAATAAAGATAACCAATAGTAACTAACCTTTCTTAATACAGAAAAAGAAATAAAAATAAAACCAAGAAATACATTTCATTTAAATTGGTTTCTAAATTCCAGAATTTAATTTGGAACTACTACCTTTAGAAATTTAATATCCAGCTGCAGTGCTGCTGATTAATGCAAAAATAGCTGAAAATTACTTATAATAAAAGTGAGCAATAAAAAGTATCGTAAATAAAAATTAATTGAGCCGCAAGTGAATTGAATTTAGGTATAGGACTATGATTTCTTGCATTGTTATTTATGGATTCTGATGGAATTCATTTTAAATTTGAATTTGCACAATTCTTTGTAGGGTATTCCACGTGCTCTACCGCTTGGCAATTGCCAATACAGCGATTTGTTGGCCTTGATTGAGTTAGCACAGTGCACTGCACCCTTGCACTTGATGTCAAATTGTTGTCGCTGCAATTGCGGGCCAAGTGGCCAGGGAATGTTGGTTTTGGCCACTCGAGCTGTCTACTTTTTAGCCAATTCCAAGTGGCATTTCGCCGGTGCATGTGTGTGCATACAGGTGAATGTTATCCGCGAGTGTGTGACTGTTTGTTTACTCAACTTGTTGCATTCGTTGCTGAATGGAGAATCGAACTACACTCGGAAACACCGAAACAAATGTTTCTTAATTTTGATGTGATTTAGGTATTGATTGTAAAAAATGGAAAATGGCAGTAGAGATGACCGGTAAATAAAAAGAATTCATTTTAACCACCTTTAAGCACTACCACACTATATGGTGTTTTGTCTATTCCTTTTGCTTTAATTTTCTTGAACTTATATCTATTACTGGCGGGTCCCAATTATTTCTTATTAAATAAAAAACTATTTATAAAAAATAAACTCATTAGTGCCCTGTCTTAGGGAGATGCATCCAATGTTCAGGCACCATTTTACCGGTTAAAACTCGTCGGAACGGGGGGTGGGTGCTCGATAAAGTATTTGGTTACAATTGATAACAGCAAAAAAATATTTTTTAATTATATTCTGGTTTTGAGACCATTATAAGAAAAATGTAGAGTACATATTATTAAATTCTTATTAAATTTAAAGATTCGTGTTAATTAAAAAATATCCAACAAAAATAGAAATGCAAAAATCTTTTAAAAAATTATACATCGATGCTATCATGGCCTAATCCTAATATGAAATATTAGTGGAACATTGGGATTTTTCTTCTTCTAATTTTCTTTAAATCTACACCAAGGCTCCCTGATTTTTTTCCAGTGCACTGTTGGCGTCTCCCTCGCTTCCGTCGCCTATCTCTGTCCCGCTTTTTGTTTGTCTGCCGAAGCTTACAATGTAAGTGCGCGCGTATCGATAACTGCCGACACCGCCCACCACCCACTGCCCAACCCCCCTTCGCACCACCCCTGCACCACCAGCAACGGATGCAGTGCGACCTTGGAGCCGTGCTAATGACGTATCGAAACGCATCGGATTATAAGGCCGAGAGTAACGGTACAGCAACGGCAAAAGCGAGCGCACAAAAATATATATGCATACGGCCAAGTAAATGAGGAAACGAATGCACCACAGTGTTCTGTTCTGTTTATGGTCCGTCAGTCAAACTGGGTGGTTTCGGGTGGGGTTGTGGGTCAAAGGTGGCTCTGGTGGGTGGACTTGTGCAGCTCTCCTGCAGCTCCAATGAATGGCGATTCCGCTGAATTGAATGGAATCGAGAGTGTGGGTTTTGCTGAATGAGTGAATGAATAAGTGAGTGAGTGAGTGAGTCCCTCGTCTCGGTGACGAAAATAAATCAAGAAAATGTTGATAAAAATATATTAGCACCACCCACGGCCTAATCAAGTGGTTTTCGGTGGTTCGGTTCGTTCGTTGCCTAGTTGGTGCCACAAGTGGCACAAGATGACGCCTAATTGGGAGGAGCAATCTTCAATCAGGCCAGACACTCAGCTGGAAGCTGGGGAGCTGGTACATGGATGTGCGCGGGGTCATTCGCTGGGGTGGGTGATTCTGAATAATGGCAAATTGGCCGGCCTCCCGTCGAGGGAACACGGGTGGATGCTGCCCCCCATTAGCTCGGTGGGTGGGATCTTCGCCTCCGAAAGGGGGGAGCACACGAAACAACGGCGAAATGCCCCGTCCACCGATTCAATATGTGCGTCTTTAACTAATTCATCCTCAAAGTTTCATCTTGCAAAGGAAATATATTTTTACCATATTATCATGTAAAAATACCAAAAATATACTATACAAATTTTATTTAACAACTATCTATTTAAATACTTTTTTCAGCTGATTCGAATTATTTACTTTATTTATTTGTAATTCTTTTAAATGCAGCACCATCTCAGTATCAAGAATACCTTTTAGTAAATCGGCCTTGAAATAAATATTCTTTCATTCAACAATACGATTTTAGAATTTCTAATAGCCATTGAATAAAATTTGTGTTCATTTTGAGTGTGAATATAATTTGTGTCCATTGAAAATGATTAAAAACACAAGTTAAACCTAATTAAGTACTAAATATGGCCTTAAAGCACACAAAGTTAAACAAACAGTGCTATGAATATTTTAAGAACCTTTTCGGAAAGTCACAAAGGAAGGTTATTAGAAGAACAAGTGAGTAATTTTTAGTTTATTTTGATGTCACAAAAAGTCACAGTTAAAAATGACAGAGTAACTAAGTTTTTTATAAAAATGAACAAAAGGATGGTGGCACCCAAATCACTAGGAATTTATAATCACTTATAAATGACAGTTTTTAGACACCTAAAAGTATGCAGTGAATAAAGGATAGTTGTCTTTCTGAATGAATTCACTGTACTCATGTCTTTAAATATATTGCTGCATACTTTTAGATACCAAAAAACCCATTTTTTTTTAAATTTTATCTGGGATTCGGAAATTGGTGATTTAAGATCACTAGAGATGGCTATGAAAATGTTATTTGAAGAAAACTCACCTATTCGAGAGCTGGAACATCTCCATCATGGTCTCGTTCGGATGCTGGTGGTGCGGATGTGCCAGATGATGCGAATGCTGCGGGTGGTGGGCGTGCGGATGTGGCTGCGGATATGGGTGGTGCATCGCATGCAGGTGGGCCGAATGCCCAGGATATGCTCCCTGCATGGACCCCGGTCCTGTTCCCGAACTGGGTACACCGCCGCCGGCTCCGTAGCCCATGTACCTGCCACTGGCCACAGCTCCTCCTCCTCCTGCTCCTCCGGCTCCACCTCCGCCGGATCCTCCCGATCCGTAGGGTGCATTCGGATACCACATATTGGGATAGAAGCCCGGCGCTGCGCCATGAGCCGGGGAATGTGCATACGGATGCAGACCACGCGAATTGGATCCTCCTCCGCCCGGAATCGCCACGGGCAGTGGACTGCCCGGCGATCGGTAGTTGAAGTGGTACATGGAACTGGAGGGCGGACGGAGCATCAGATCGCATCCAGAGCCGGCGGTGGAGGGAGTGGGCGATTGGTAGAAGCTATTCGCACCGCTGCCACTCCCACTGGGCGCATAATCGCTGCCCAGCACCGAGCTCTCGTTCTCATCCGGATAGTTGTCCTCCTCGAGATCGACGGGCTGGGCTGCCTCTAGCGGAGCATCCGCATCCACATCCGCATCGGGATCCCAGGCCAGCTCGTCCAGTTGGCACTCGCTTTTGCCCAGAACAAGGAGATCGGCATCGAGGGCCGCCGGTTCGTCGAAGAAGGGAATGTCTTGCTTGAGATCCTCAATGTCCTGGCCGCGACCTTGACTCTGACCCGCGGAGGAGTTCCTGCTGCGACTGGCGCCCTCCATGTTCTCCAGCTGGAAAATACAGAGAGAGGTGGACGAGAACTGTGAGCGATCGACTGAGGAGATCATTGCATCATTGACGGCTGATAAGAATTCGTAGTACCCCTATTTTTAATTGCCCAATAGATTGTTTTCCCAATTAATGGTCGCAGCACTGCTAGAAAAATACAACCCAAATGGAAATGCCTAGAAAATATCATATAATTGATCAATTTCATGCTAGTTGTGGTGGGTCACTTACCACTCTCATAAACATTTTTAATATTACTTTTATAGTTTTTTTTTTTATATATTTACGTGTAGTTCGTGGACTTTTTAAGATAGGGATCAGATATCTAACAAATTGATCTATAAAAATTCCTACTAAGATCATGTCGAATCTCAAAGATAATATCATAAATTGAAAAGTACATACTATAAAATTAATACTAAAACCTTGATTTCATATCCCTAACATTTTATTATGTTATTATTATAAATAGCACTTCAACCTATTTTTGCATTGTATCAATATTATATTTAATTTGCCATACCATTTCCCTCGCTTTATTGTTTTGTTGTAATTCAAAAAATACTATAAATAGCCAGCAACGGAATCCAATAGTGAACTAGAAATGAGCGCAATTGGACTCGATGTTCCTGGGATTTTTTATGATCGAACTCGTAAAACGCTCAAAGCCATAAACGATTCTGAGTCATGGGCGGCGGAGGGGGGATTGTGGCCGGTGCTCGGTTGAATGACAAAAGCAAAAGTCAAAGAACGGGCCAAAGATATTCGACGTTATTTATATGCGGATCTTGTCCAAGTGCCGCCTATAAATAATATCAACACTATATGTATACACCCATGGACCTGCTCGGATCCCAAACACATATATCCGTCTATTCAGGGCAGATCTTTGAACTATATTTACTCCTTCCATTTCCTTGGACCAACGTATGTATATTATTCTGGCCTCTGATTCACATGACAAACGCATTTGGTGGTCGAGGGAATTGTGGGGAATTCTAGTCATAAATTTCGTTTTTTTTGCCCTCGAGCTTAGCTGTTTATTTGTTTTTCCTTGTGGACAATTGAAGACATTTATACGTATTAATGGAAACTATTATTGCCGTGGGAAAAGGTGGTTTATCCTTGAAAAATCAGCTAGGTATGGGTATATATTTCCCAAAATATTATATGGATTAATTGTATATTTAATTTATTCATCACGATTTCTAAGAAGAATAGCTAATCGCCTAATTAAAATCGAATTTATTTCACTTATATGTCCGGGGTTATTTTGATATCGAAAGAGATATGACAAATACCCATAAATAGGCGGTTAAATTGTTTGAATACACAGCTCGAAATAAAGACTTTATAATTTACTATCTTAATCTTTAACTTGGAAAATTAATTAGAACTTCAATCGAAAATATTACAATTTGTATAAATACTTATAAAATTGTTTAGAAAATTAAAAGCTTACACTTTTAAATCCAAAGCCATATTCCATTTAAATATTTTTTGCTGTGATTTTCATCCACTGCAGTTTTTAAATACTTTAAATAAAAAATATTTGAATAAGCAATTATAGTTCAGTTAGAAAATTTTAACACTTTAATTTCACATGCATTAGATTAACATTATTAAATTAAAAACAACTAACACTACATATTTTTACCTTGATTTAGATCTTTTTAAGTAATATCACGCAGCTTGTTAAATTTTGTATTGAACATTATGTTTTTGTAACTAGCTAAAATATTTACTACGAAATTCTGATTCAAAATGAAGTTATTAATTTATAATATTATATTTTTTATAAGTGTGTTCTATAAAAAAAGGAAACTAAGTTTCAACACACAAAACTGCTTAATCAGTAATTAAGTTTATTCAACTTTACGTAACGTTCTACGTTTATTATTAAAGCCCTTTGGCAAGCAAAAATAGCCACAAAATAGTAAAAAATGATAAAAATAAGAAATCTGATAATTGTCAACAGGGAAGTCGAAAGCCACTCGACAACTAAGTAATATGCAATCCAGGCATTATTATTTTTTCAGTTGTTATCATCGACGATTGCCGTAATATTTGCGCTCCTACACTTTATTAGTTTATTTTGCTGTTGCACTTTTTTCCGCCTTTCCAAATTTGTTTTGTAATTGTTTTCGAGTGCCGGGTAAACATCGGTCATAAAGACAACGAGGGGAGACATGTCAATTGCCATTCTGCTGCCAAAATCGACTATTGCCAGACGGCCATTGTTGATGTCGCAGCGGGCTGCCGCCACTTTGCATGGCTGACTGTCGGTGCAATGGGGCGTATGCGCAACGCGGTGGAAAACATGACAAGTGGGTGGCAGCAGAAAAAAAAAGTGACAGGGGGGGGGGGGGGCACGCTGAGACCCATTTAAGTTGAGCATTTCTCTCGGCTCATTTATTCATTACCAGCAACGAATACATTGTTTCGTACTTAAGACACAGCACTCTCCCCAACTATTTAAATATTTTATTATATTCGTGGAACAGGGCGTATACGCAATGCGATAAAAACTTTATAATAAGGTGGAGTGGTAATATTTCTGTCATTTAATGTATTTATTTATAATGATATATTATTTATTTTAATATACTATATAATATTATTATAATACGATATTTTATTTGTTATTATTATTATGGTAGTTTATATTTTAATTTAAAATTGTATAGTATCATCAAAAAAATCATTGTAAATGATAATAATTATTAAAAATCATAATGCGATAAAAACGTTGTAATAAGGTGGAATATGCATTCCACAGTCATTTTATTATTGAATTATTTTATTATTTTACAGTCATTTAATTTATTTATAAGGTGTAAAGAATTTGTATTTTAATCTTAAAATAGTTTTTTCTTGTGAATGATTAAAAAAAAGATCATAATGCGAATATCATAATGGAATGATATATTACAGTCCTTTAATTTAATTTTAAGGTGTTCAGAATTTTTAATAAATAATTGTTTAATTTAAAAATAGTTTTTGAGTAGCAAATAAACAATTGCAGTAAATGATTAAAGTACTTCATAATGCGATAAAAACTTTATCAGAAAGTAGAATCCAAAATTTTGTGTCATTTAAATCATTTATAAGGTGTTAAGGATTAATAAAAAAATAATAATCTTATAAAAAAATAATAATTTTATAAAAAAATAGTGATAATAAATGATAAAAACGTTGTTATAAGGAGGAAAGCAACAATTTCTGTCACCTATTTTATTTTTAAGATGTTTAGAATTTTAAATAAAATTATATATTAATTTTAAAAAAAGTTTTAAGTAGGAACTCCCCATTTTTATCTTATTAATTATTTATTTAAAGGTCTCACTATTTATTGTACATATTTATTCACATTGTGAATAATGAATACATTTAGTTCTGTATGCAATACTATGCTGAAAGCAGCACCTTGTCATTACGATAATTTCACAAAAAAATCAAGATATGAGCTACAAGCTAATTGACTTTTTCCAACTTGATTTATGGCATTTAAAATTTAAATCATAAATCCGAATAGCCATGTACACACATAATCCCCTGATTTAGGGTCTCTTATCGTGCAAAAAAAAACCTTATCTCGAACTATTTTGGCAATTGTTAAATGGCATACGACACGCCTTCCCATCTATAGCCCCCAAATCGATAAGGTCTGCCAAGTTCCAAGTGAGGCCCAAAAAACCCAATGCGGTTCTCGGGTTCAGCTCCATTACGCCCTCAACTGGCCATATAAATTTGGGTATAATCGTGTGCGAGCACATATATGAATGTACTTGTATATTCATATGGCGTAGGGCAATTATAATCTTTGTACAGATATTAAACATGAATATTGCGTTTGATAAGCCGCCGACCGTCGTTTGTTTGCTCTTCTCGATTGCTTTTCCACCAACAAACTCAACGACCATGGCCAGACACCCACAATTTGTTGTTGAACCCGTCGGTTTTGTTGAATGTCGGCGTTGCTGGTGGTGTTATATGTAGATATACATGAGCATTTGTACAGATACACTGTACTACAGATACAGCCGGGCTGATTAGACCCCGAGATGGTTGAGGTCAAGTTTTGACAGCTGCCTCTTTGGTCAGGCATGTGATATCTACTTAATGGCATTAGCAAGTAATTTTCAGCACTACCAAATATCTATACATTATATATAATATATATAACTAACCTATTTCTATTCCATTTTCAGTTAGGCAACGGGTTTTTACCATCATAAAGGCGTTTCTATGGTAGCAAGATAGATGGCCATCAAAAGCCCTTATCATGTAACCCACTTTGTAATCCCTTCAAATCACCATTGTAATATCACATTGTTGCATTGCCTCGTGACTCATTTGATGAATGACTGTGGTTGAGCAGATAAAAACGATGGTAAACTATTATTCACTCGATAAGGATAATGCAGGCGATTGTCGTAACCAGTGAGCTGGCAACTTTGGGTGGTGGTTTACAAGAAATCTTTACCAGATTACTCAGATTAGATTAGGGTCTGAAAATTTCTTTGACAAAAAAGAAAGAATTTTCAAAAAACTTAGCCTTTTTACATTTATGCATGCATATTTCAAACCATAATTAACCGAAATATTATTGAGCACACTTATTTAATTAAAAAACTAATATTCACAAAGGTTTTATGTCAGTTTTATATTGTAAGTCTCTTTTTTTAGTATTTTCTTGCAAAGTGAGGTTATATCAACATTTTCAGGGTTGTCACCTTCATGCTAATCAAGTACCGTAGCTTAATAAATGAGATTAAGACAACTTTGTACCTTGATTGCAATATACCGTAATCACAATAATTACAAAAACCCAAGGAGTTCCTATAAAGCATTGCCATTTATGATATCCTCCAAATGAATGAGAGACTATCACAACTTTTGAAGGGTTGCCACCTGCATTTTTCTACATTTATGTTTGCATATTTGAAACCATTATTTAACCAAAATATTATTGAGCAGACCTATTTAATTAATAAACTAATATACACAAAGGTTTTATGTCAGTTTTACATTGTAAATCTCTTTTTTAGTATTTTCTTGCAAAGTGAGGTTATATCAACATTTTCAGGGTTGTCACCTTCATGCTAATCAAGTACCGTAGCTTAATAAATGAGATTAAGACAACTATGTACCTCGATTGCATTATACCGTAATCATAACGATTACAAAAACCCAAGGAGTTCCTATAAAGCATTGCCATTTATCCTCCAAATATCCTCCAAATGAATGTGAGACTATCACAACTTTTTAAGGGTTGCCACCTGCGCGATTGCAGCACTGTGATACCGTAAGCTTTCTCTGGGCCCTCATAAATCAATCATGAAAGATTTACGTCTAATGCTGGCCATAACAATAACAACAATAATAACAATCTAATAAAAGAAGAGGGCAAGAGGCGAGAAAAAAATCAATTTCACTTACATGTTTTGCGCTGTTTCTTGTTTTTCTGCATGAAGCTTTTCGCTCGCTCCCTCTCTCGCACTCGTCGGTGCGGCTTGTTTATTTATCCGTCTCGCTCTCTCTCTCTCTCTTTCTGCTGTCCGTTGGTATTGGCGAATTATTTATTTTGTGTTACTTTGTTGTTGCTGTCCTGCAGTTGCAATTTGCTTTGTTATCTATGCCGTTATTTGTTTTTTTTTCTTTGTGATTCTTTGTACTTTACTTTGCAAGAGGAGAAAAAAACGAAAAAAAAATAATAACAGTACATATATCAAATTACAGTATTTGTTTTGCGTTTGATTCAGTTCACTTGGTATTTTTTATGGTATTTTCATAGTTTCACTCTTGCATTTGAGCGGTATTTCCTTTAGTATTTGTTCAAACATTTTTCAAAAACACTTTTGATATTGTTTTCAATTGGACGGGTTTTTGGGGAAATGAGCATAATTTTCATTTTATCTAGTTCTTATTTTTCTTTTGCTCTTTGTTTTAACTTTCGAATTATTTTGATTATTGTGTATTTATTTCTCTTTTTAAGTTGTTCAATATCAATCAATATTTGTACAGCTGGAGGTATTTTGTTGTTTTGTTTCACTTTCTTGTTGAAGCTTTAATGTGTGTTGTTGCTTTGCCATTCATCTTCCAGCAAGTGTTCGTTTGTTGTTGCTGAAAGAATGGAAAATAAAAGAGACGCTATTAAAGAAAAATTGAAATATACCGGCTTAATAACAATAAACTTAAAGGGGAACCTTAAGAAATTCAAGCTTCTTACAAGTTTATATTTAAATGACTATTTTTTTTTTTTAAATTTAAATCCAAACAGTTTTTATATATTTAAGACTTCGCTTTGTCTACCCATTCATCTTTGTTCCTCACATTTTTATAGCTCAAATTTGAATGCAATGTTGTTTTTGCTTCGGCCGCTATTTGCGGTCGTTTTTTCGCTAATTAAATGAATACTTTAATTTATATATTTGAATTTTATTTCCCACTAACTGGCGAACGGGCACAAACAGAAAAATGTTAATGTCATTGTCGATAGGTGTTCTGTGCTGTCACCTGTTGCTTTGTTGCTCTGCAGCTGCCGCTAAATGCTTCTTAAATTCGTATTGTTTTTTAACTTTTTGTTATCTCGTTGGCTTTCGTGGCTTTTTTGTGAAAATATATATAAACCGGTTAAAGCCGGCCCAAAAGTTAGCACCACCTTAATGGACGACGGGGGAGGGGGTGTGGTTGGCCGGTGGGTTGCAAATTAAGGGAAATATTGAACCCGAGTTGAAACACCATTACTGATATTTCACTTGAATTACTTCTGCTGAATTTGACATTTTACGATAGCTTTTTATTTATGATCTAAGCTGACCAATTAATTGTTGTGTTCATGCATTTTCGCTTTTTATTACATCTAAAATATTTGTTAAATTTATGTTAAATTAAAAGAAAATGTAAAGTATATAATGGAAAATTCTGAGTTAACCACAGCTACATATCTTGTCTTATTATTTGTACCATTAAAAGGTATTAAGTAAATTAAATTGGTAGGAAAACAATTTTTGAAGGTATTTTATTTTATGGTATTTTACTAGGTATTTTGAACAAGTACGTCGCGTTAAGCTCATAAAAAAGTGTAACCGTAGGTAAACGCAAACTAGGGACAATTTAAATAGTTGGAGTTAATTGGTTGAGGCAGTTTCAACAAGTAATTTCATGAATTTAAAGCTTGTTTTTTATATAATATATATTTAAATAGAGTATTTCAAAGAAGAAGAAATTGTAATAAAAAGCAAGAATTTGGATTAGTACAGCGAATTGTTTTTCCCCTTGAATTTGTTTATTCTTCTGCCCTATCGAAATATCCTGTCAATGGCATCTTGGCTAGTTTCTATCCCTACCTTTTATCTCTAGTTTCATCCTAAATTCCACCTACCAAATGTGTATACGATATATTTATTTATTTGTGCGCATTTAGCTCAAGTGTTGCTTGGCAGTCTAAATCAAATATACATATAAGAAGATAAACTTCTTTACGAGTGTCCCCGACTTTTCCGAAAAAGCTCACACAGACAGGGACACAAGCACGCATAAATATAAGTGCGAAAATTTCTGTGTGTGTGTGTGTGTGTGCGTGGAGCAAGGACAAGGGAATCCTGAGGCATTGGGGTATACGTAGGTGGGCGTGTGCACACTCACAGGCACACGCACAGACGGAGGTTCCCACTGTGCCAGTACGTGCGTGCGTGTGGGTGTGTACTACAGTGAAAACTGAATAGAATGGATGTCAAAGTAATGCAATCTCAAATTGTTAGAAAATTATTTGACAGCCTTTTCTTTAGTTCCATTATGTTTTTAGAAATTGAGTTTAAAAAAATTAACGAATTATTGTTTTTAATTAAGCTTTAATATACATTTTATGTCAAAAAGTTGTAGAATATTTATAAGAAGGTTTATTTTATGGATTGAATTTAGAATTATATGATGTATTATTTTTTCGAAGTTCACATAAAATAACATGATTCTAAATAATAATAACTTGATATTTGAACCTCAAGCTTAAAGAAAATTATTCGAATATTCTTCTTTTCTTTATTTTGTATCTAAATACAATCCTAATTTAATATTTATAAATTAAAATAATATTTAATAAATTTTCGTTTTTCACTTCTTGGTTGTTGTTTTTCCAGTTTTCTTTATGGTCTTGATTTGAGAAAAATTTCATTCTTACAATTTTAAGAAGTTTTGTACTAAAAAGGTTTTAAGAACCGATTGAGCTAAAAAATTCTCATAAGAAGTACCAATATACTTAATCATGCCTGCAACCTTCTTTTTTCATAAATAAATCGTACTTGCTTTAAGCATAAATGTGAGAAGATTTGAGAACAATTCATTCTTGATTTAAGAACGAAATGTTTTAATGTTGTGTCTTGAAAATTCGTACATTAAAGCTGTGTGTTGTCCTCGAGATCATAATTTTTGAAGATCGTTAAAACGCTTGATCAAAGCACTAAATTCTTGATTTTTTTCAGAGTGTACTTTTCCGTATTCCCTTGTTTATTTGTCTTGGTTTTCAGGGACATCGCCGGTACGCAAAAAAATCTTTGCAAACAATTTTCTGGGTTTTTTGTTTGTGCTGCGGTTGACAAGTGCGAAGCACACACGCACCACCCACCGAACCACTGAACCACCCATCTACACAACCACCCAACCACCCATCCGGCTGCCATAAAGCTACAGTGGCTCCGGTTTGGGAGCCGTATCTGTATCTGTAAATGTATCTGGTTATGGGTCTGGATCTGGATCTGGGGTCCGAGTCTGGGGCCTGGGTCAATCACCCGCCAGCGGGTCGTAATTGCAAAAAAGCACAAAGCACACACACACACACAAAAATAACAAAAAAATTAAAATGTAATATAAAAACCTTTTTTATTTTTGCTCACCGCCTTTTTTGTATTTTTTTTTTTTGTTTTTATTTGCATTTCAGCGACGCGACGTAGGAGAAAAAGAATAAAACAAAAATAAATTCAAGTGCTCCGTCAAAATAAAGCCGAAAAAGAAAAGAGAGCAGTCGAAATGGCGAAAAGCTATTTGCCAGACAACGACAACGAACTTTTGGGACTTTAGGGGGATGTACAGGGGATTATCGGGGGAAAAGCGAGAGAATCCCAAAGCAAACGACACCCAGAAAGAGAGCTGGTGAGCGGTAAAAAAATAAATAAATTATATAATTTGCTTTGACGTTTGACGTTTCGCCCCAAAGCCACCCCCCCCCCCCCCCAAAAACTTTTGGTTTGTTTACATTTGCAATAGTTAAAGTTACATCGCATAGCGCGCCTTAGATTGAGCTTGAGTCGCGGGGCGTATACGCAATATTACGTATACGTATGTATGGAATTCATTTATAAATAGAGCAAAGAAGCAAAAAAGGAAAAAAAAATGCCCGCTAATAGATCATTAGAGAAGATCATTTCACCATTGGTGGGCGATGGAATATCTTTGGTTTGGAGGTTGCTGGACTTATAATATTTACGATACGATTTGCCAGCCCCTTTGATGTTGGCAAAATTCTCAGTATGATAATGAATGAACTGCATTGAGTGTGAGACATTTCTCCCCCTGCCTTATCGCTTCTATAAAATATATTTGAATCCAAATATGTTTTTCAGGTATCAGATTGTGCTTGTATACATTTGCTTGAACTTGACACTACTTCTAAGGTTTGCGGTTACACAAAAAATAAGACGGCTCTGCCACTTCAGTAAAGAAGCAAAAAATATTGAACAGTGCTGACATGTTGTTTAAAAAAGGGGGAGAAAAGGGTAGTACGTAGAATATTTTGTTTGTTATTGCATAAATTAAATAAACTTATATTCTTAGTCATGGAAATATTTTTAAAATGGCTTGCGTTCTTCATCTTCAAATATTTCTAAAACCATTTTTATTTATGTTAGATATAAAAAAATTGTTTTTCCCCTGCAAAAATAATAAAAAAGGCTTGAAATAGATCCAAAATTTCAAACATACTTTCTGATAATTTATCAATGTTTTCTAAAAATGTTTAAAAGTTGTAATCACAGAATTTTGTTTGGCTTTACCCATAAATACTTAAAGAAAACAAACAAAAACCAGATTGTGTCTACTATTTTGTTCTATGAGTCTTATCAGTTATATTTCATATATTTTTATGAACAACTGTTTTCCATTTCATATTTTATCTGACTTGTAAGACTTAAGAATATATTATGGTTTCAGTTAAAACAAATTGTGGGCAAGAAAATAAATAAACATAGGGGAATGAAAATTGAATTTAATATTTTGTATAAGCTATGTACCTAAGAATTATTTTATAATCCAAGTTAAAATGTTTTGATTTAAAAATAAATTATTTTAATCGGCTAAGAATTGTCTAGAAAATGTCAGAAAAACAATTCTGCTCGCAGAGAAAAAAGCGGCTTTATAAAATAACAAACAAACGCTGCTGTTTCGACCTGGCCCAAAGCTGACGTCGACATCAGGTGGTGGTGGCTGGCAAAAAGTTGTCGCAAAAACCAAAAATAGCCGAGCACTCGAGGAGTGAGAGCAGCCGTTGAAGAAAGAGCGATTGGCTTGGTGAGAAGAATCGGGACGGGAAGAAAGAGACAGAGAGGGCGGGAAGAACGTGGCCGTTGGAGCACGTTCTACAAAGATTTCCGAGTGCACTTTGCATAACATTCCATGACATGGGTAATATAATCGTAGACTGTGGAAAAACTATACCTACTAGAGCACAGAACCATATTAGTTTCTCGTTTAAACAAGACTATAGGAAGTAAAAATATTAGAAAAATATACACAAGGCGGAGAAGAAACGTAAAGAAAGCTCTGACAAATAAAATAAAACAAAAAATGTAAATAACTATTTCTCACAATGAAATGTAGAGCTTTGGGGACTGATTATATTTGTATTTCTAATCTGTAAACTAGTTTAACCTTTGAGGTAGGTAAAAGTAATATATGGCCTTATTACAAAAAGGTTATCATTAAATATCACAGTAAGCAACAGTGCCGGGTTAATTTTTTATAAAGTTTCTTTTATTCAGGGCCACAGGGCGTATGCGTAATGTAGAACATCAAATATTACGCATACGTCATGTGAACCGCAGCGAGTGGAGGTGATCTAAGCCAAATTGATTTAATTAGCATGGCAGCCTAAGATGGCGTCAAGCTATCTCTGCCGAATGCGTTCCAATCAGGCATGCTAAATTCGGCACCAATTAAGATTCGATTTATCGATAGACTTGCCTTTTGGCAGTCTCGTTCTGATTGCCCTTAATTTATGGACGGATTGTTTACAATGTATTTGGAATTGATATTTGAAATGTAATAATAGAAATTTGTGTGCTTAGAGGGCGGAATCTAATGATTTATTACAATGGCTTTTGAAATATGCAATCTAAGTACTTCAAAGTACTTAGTACAATACCATTTCAATGGGTGTTATGACAATGTCACTTTCCCTTCTAAGAAATTGCATGGGATTGACAGAAAATATGACATATTTAATTAGAGTTTAAATATTCATTTAATTTTCCTCTGGTCACTCAAAAAGTGGACTTTATTTTTTTTTTTTGGGGGGGGGGGGTGTTTTATTGTCTAGGTTAGGTTATCAATTGCCGCTGCCCAAGTCCGCTTTCGGTGCAAAATCGGCTTTCCTTTTTCCACAGCAGCTTTCGAGCGTCTTAACCCCTCTCTTTCTAGCGCCTCCGCTTAACCCGCCGTCGCCCACATTTTCGTGGCGAGCTTTTTCGCCTCTCTCGGCGTTTCTACCGCTTTTGCTTGGTCCGCTCGACGCTCAGCGCTGAACGCTGAACGCTCGGCGTTTGACGCTCAGCTAAACGACCGCTCTTAGACGCGACGTCAGCAAAAAATTTCATGAAAGCGACAAGGAAAACAAATTATAAAAAAAAAATGTATAAATATGTTTACATATAAAAACTCGTAAAAATATAAAACAAAAAATGCTAAAACAAATTGCCAGTATATTTTATTGTCTTCAACAAAATAACCAGACATCTCAAAATGCTATCGTTTTTATATACACAGAGATAATTAAAAACAAATAACGAGACCAAAACCTGTTCATATACATTTTATAATCTCTAAACAGAGCCCAACAAGTGCCTATGTGTGTCCAAAATGTTTCCAAATTAATTCTATAATTTCTAAATTTAAATTTAGTAGGCCACATTCGAAACACTTCCCACTCTATCGACGCAATTGAACTGCCAGCATCAGCAGGCGACGTAGAAATTAATTATCAAACATGAAACAAAAACACAATCCAAAAACCCAAAAGTAACAGAGAAAATAATAAAAATAAAACACACGAAAATCATCATCATCATCATCATCGGCAACAGCTAAGAAAACCTTGAGAGCAGCCAACAACAGAAACAAAAATTGGAAAGAAAAAACAGAAAAAAACATTTTTATTGATCGGAACTCGGAACTGGTAAATCATCGAAAGATTGTTGCCAAAAAATGTCTGATGCTATGATGGGCTATTTATATTTACTTTTATTGTTATTATCATCCAAAGCTCAGTTCTATGTCTTTTTTGTTTTATGCTCTGTACCCGCAAAGTTCAAGGGAGGCTAAGGCCCTGTCATAAAGTGCCCCTGGTGTACCTATATCATCTATAATCGGTTGATCTCAGCGCGCCCATTAAGCCGCCTATCTGGAATTTGGCCATAACTATGGTTATCTCTGGCGATTCTTTGGGTATTTCGCAGTCGATAGACTTAAATCTCGCGTTCTGGCTTGAATTTTTTTATTAAAAATTAAATAAACCGAAAAAAGAAACTGGAAATTCATTAATATGTTAATTTTTTTTGTCTTGCCTCATTGATTGTGTCGCTTTGGCTTTGGTATCTGTGTGTGTTTGTGTTTTTAGCTGGGCGAGCGTTAATGTTGGCTAAGCAGATTTTCGGAGGATGACAAACACAGACAGTGGGAATGCTTTTCGTAAATCGAAACTTTTCCCAAGTCAACAAAAACTGAATCGTTCTCGGGTTTCGATCGCGCAAAAATGCGCGCACGCGCCGCTGATTTCAGCACAAAGATATATGGGCTTTCTACACCATATCGTACACAACTGAAGTTTAATAATACACCATCATCAACAAAAAAATTCCTCAAGTCAGAGCGCTAAATTTAGTTCTTCAAATACACAACAACGGTTCACCAACGTTAGTACTCCATTACACCAACGCTTTATGGCTAAAATTCCAACTTTATAACGTAAGCACATAAATATTGGTAGTCTGAAACTACCTAATTTTAGCTTTCTGCACCATATAAAACAAACTCAAGTTTATTTTTAAACACTATCGTCAACAAACAAAATTCTTCAAGTCTGAGCCGCAAAAACCCAACAACGGTTCACCACCATTGTTACTCCAATACCCCTGCCTTATAAAGCTAATATACCAACTTTATAACGAAAGTACATATGTAAATATTGGTAGTCTGAAACTACCTGATTTTAGCACAAAGATATAGGGGGCTTTCTACACCATATAATACAAAGTGAAGTTTAATAACACACCATATTCAAGTCTGAGCAATAAAAACTCAACAACCACCAATACACCTACCTTATAAAGCTAATAATCCAACTTTATAACTTGAGTACATAGATACTGGTAGTCTAAACCTGCAACATCGGAAGCCAAATAAACCAATACGGAACACTAAATACACAGGCAAGTTAAACAATATAGCAGTTTTTTAATACTTCAACTTTGGTTCCATAGGAAGTGTAGCATTAGAACAACAAGCCAATGCTACACCACAGCTTTAATTCTAATACTTCAACATGGGTTCTCCCATGTTAGCATTATATTACACCTACAATTTCGAAACAAATTACTTAAGTTCCCCAAATTTCCGGCTCTCCAAAACTCGTATATTAGAAGAATCCCAACATTTTAAGTAATACTATATTGTATGATTTCATTAAGGTCACCGTCAACTACCTTCTCTTATAATAATTCTTCTCGACGGTGTTTTTTTTAGTTTGTTGTTTCAAACTTTTTTACACAAAAGCACAAGCACTGGCACCAAACACACACCCGAAAAAAAAGAGCGCAGGGGCAAAGCGAAGTTTGTTTGTTGCCTTGTAGTATTTCTTCTTCACGATGTTATTGTTTTATGTATTTTTTTTTCTATATATTTTTTTTTTGTGTTTTATATGGGGCTTTGGGGGGCACTGTTTGATATTCCAATTCCATTCGTTAGCGCGGCGCCATTTACGTTTCTCGAGCGTGTTCTTTGCATTTTAGCAGCGAAAAAAGGCAAACGCCGAGAGAAGGAAACCGCTCGCACTCGCACTTGGACACAATCGCTCACACGTACACGTACACGGGCAGAAAAAACACACGAATACGGGTGAAAATAAAAAATAATAATAAATAAGAAACGGCGATGGTAGGCGAAACGGCAAACGGCAAACGGCAAATGGCGGAACAGCGAAACCGAGCGGCGGGCCAAGCGAACGTCGCGAAGCGTCCGTCCGAACCGCTACAGAAACAAAAATTAATTACATATATTGAAATCACAAACTAAACTAATCAGCCAGACCAGCGCGCCGAGCAGCGGCGGCAGCTGCGGCAGAGCCCCGGCAGCGGAGAGCCGAGCGGCGAATCAGCTGCCCGAAAAGCTGCTCGCTCTCTCGCTCCCGCTGCCCGAAAATAAAAGCTTGCCGCCGGGTGCGACAGAGATGGCAGTGGCCCCAGCAGCATTTCGAGAGAAGAGCGAGCGAGAGGGCAGCAACAACCTGCGACGGAAAGCTGGCGAGACCTTGACTAAGGTTTCCGGCCGGGAAACCCTCAGCGAGTTCATGCTCACTCGGTACACCGGGCGAAAAAGAGGTTCTAAGCATTTTCACACAGAAAATTTGAATCAAGAAAACCATTTTGAAAAAAAAAATATATATATCTAGAGATTTGAAACGTTTACAAATAGCGCCTAAAAGTAGACTACGAAAAATATAAACATTTCTTTAGCATTTTAGATATATTGTAGAGATTCGAAAGATTCTAGAGATTTAAAACCTTAACAAATAGTGTCTAAAAGTAGACTACGGAAAATATATTCATTTCTTTAGCATTTAAAGTATGTTGTAGACACTCGAAAGATTCTAGGTTCAAAGGTTCAAGGTTCAAAACTTTAACAAGTATGATCCAAGAGTAAGCTACCGAAAATAAAAATATTTTTTTTTACATTCAAAATATCTTATAGTATGCTTCTAAGCACCATTTATAAGTAATACATACATTAAAATTAAGATAGATATTTTAAAAACGACAGCGTTTTTCAAGAAAATTATCTTACTTATAAACTTCCAACAAGAAGTTTTACTTTCTTCCCAAAAAGCTATGCTTTTGTTTGTACAGGAATTGTAATATGTCTTTAAAAATAGGCTTTTGAATAAGATAGGAATATGAACCTAAAGACATTAAATAGTGAAAAACAAATAGGTCGGTCTAATTAAGCATTAGGGTGAGTTATAAGTGAACTATCAATGTACAAAACTCAAAAGTAATTGTGTTCCTAAAGGGTTTATTCTTTGTCCTTTTACCACATAAATTTCTGGGGGTTATACTTTATTTATAAAGCTGTCTAAAATTAGGCAATTTTTATATTTTTAATATCAAGAAACATGATGATAAACTCTGTACAGAAAGCTAATAACCTTTCGAAACTGTAGCGATATTAATGGCATCTGGGATCTATCACAGAAGTAACAGTACCCTTGAAGTCATTATAAGCACTCCTAAAAGTGGGCTATACTTCACAAAGGAAAATTGTTTCATTTTTCGTAGTATACTTTATTACACCTTTTGAACCCCTAGAGATTTAGAAACTGTCTCATTTTTCGCAGCACACTTCGTTGCACCTTTCAAACCCCTCGAGATATATCTAGGAAAATGGGCTCGCCCCCATTTTCTGCCAGTGCACCACCGCCGAGAGAGACTTGGCTCTCCGCGCTCGCTCGCCTCCTCTCTTTTGGGGAGCTTTTTCTTGGAGCAGAGGCGCGACAGTGTGTCGCTGTTTAGTCTATGAACTTGACGCTGGCGTCTTACACAATGCTGCTTCTTCTAGCTGCTTCTCTACACCACCACACAGGCACCTAGGCACACACACAGTCATAGAAGCACTCACACTGGCATACGTAAGGGGGGCACTCTCAAAAAAAACAACACTCGCAATCGAAACGAAAACACTCTCGGCTGTTAGATAGGAATATAGGGATATATGTGCCTATATCATCGGCCCGATAAGTTCCGAGCTCGTCTCACTAACCTAGGAACTGGAAACGGGCTGGATTTGCCTGGGGAAACCTTGTTAGCCAGCGGAGACGGAGACTCAGACTCCGCCGCCATAAGACTAGGGACTACGGAGGCGCCACTTGGCCAGAATGGGCCGCTTCCACTGCAGCAACGGCCGATGCGGAGCGACGACGCGTCGTGGGACTTGGACAGATGCCGACCGACTGCCACCGATGGGGCCCGGTGCCCAAGACGTCGGTCGGTTGGACGGACGGACGGACGGCTGGGCGGGCGGACGGACGGCGGCCAGGACGCTCGCTCAGACAGCTTTCGATGCGTTTCGGCGAGCGGAGCTTTTCACCCCCATTTCCTCCATCCATCGCCGCTTTTCCGAAGAGCAACAGTAACGCACAAGGAGTCCAAAGTGGCTGGGCAGACGGGGCGCATACGCAATATTCGAGACGAGCGATAGGTCGGCAGCCATCTCGCTCGCACTCACGCCCCGCGCGCACAGTAGCGGGCACAAAAACAGGTCTCTCTGAAAATTATCAATGTTAAAAAAAATAGTTACAATAATGTAATTTAAGGACAGTGTTCCTAATAACGTGAAGTTTTATAAATCATTAGATGGGTATACTTTTTTTTTATAGAAATAATACCATAACCAGCTAGTCTACAACAAGTAAACAAAATATTTGATTTTTAGGCGAATTTGACAGCCAGAAAAAAATATTTTGCCGTACACAACTCAAAATAGTTAATATAAAATATTCTATAAAATAAAAAAAAAAAATTTTGGTAATTTTATTTACGAAAGTTCGTTTCCTTTACCTATAAACAAAGCCTTTAAACGTATTACAATATAAGAAAGGTTAAAAAATATATTATATTAACAGTAAGGAACGAAATTATATAAATAAAAATAAAACACAGTCTGAAAAAATTGTTTGCCATACACAACTCAAAATAATTAATATAAAATATTCTATGGAATTAAAAAAAATATTTGTGTTTACTTTATTTAGTTTCCTTTACCAATAAACAAAGCCTTTAAACGTATTAAAATATATGAAAAGTTATAAAATGTATAATATTAACATTAAAATACGAAATTGCATATTTAAAAATAAAACACATATTTACATATGACTTCAAGCCAGTGGAGTTGCCAGCAGAAGGGGCATGTAAGGCCAATGGGGTATAAATTCGGGGAAAATTTTAAATATCGCCTTTACACGAAAAGCTTTTAGATAAAAGATACAGCAACAAACGGTGCTACAGTGGCCACCTCAGGTGTGTATCTCGTCGCTTATGAGTTTTCTTCGGTTTATCTTGCGATAACACAATCAAAATAATAAACACAACAAGACGCATCGCTCGACGGCTGGCGAAGTGGCAAGAAGGTGGAGTCGAGCCAATCTCAGTCTTGATATGCGACTACTCGAGTGATTCCCCGAGAAGCTGCGAGTGATAAAGTGATGGAATTTTTTTTAGCATAATCAAATGTTTACCCGAATTGCGTATTTTTGAGTATTAGCAATTTAATCGCTCAATCGAAGTCTGTTAGTAGCCCATTACCGGTCTAAATAAGAAATATATTTAAATTTTATCTGTTCATTATTTTGATCAGCGTATCAATTTTTATTACACTAGTTAAATTAAACTAGGACGAGTAAACAAATTATATATATTCACAGTACAAATTCTAGAAACGGCCCAGTTGCTAGTTGCGCAAAATGTCCAGCTCTTCGGGCAGAGCGTACATGCGCATCTCCTTTTCGGTCATGAGGTCCTGCAGGAACGGCAGTTCATTGGGCAAAACAGTGCCGCCCTCCATCAACAGGGCCTTGTCCCAGGGACACTCGTCGATGGCCATCAGCAGGACCATCTTGCTGCGCTCGAAACTGGTCCTGGTATCGGAAAGGCACTTCAGGTACAGGCGCCAGTAGATCGAGTTCCGGCGCAGAACGCGATACTGCTCCGCCTCGATCTCCGAGCGGTTTTTGTTGGTCGACAGAAATGTTTCAAACATGCTGAGCAAACGATTGCGCACCGCCGCCTGTATGAAGGGCTCTCTGGCGGCCACGAGCGGATCCTCGTCTCCTGTGCCCGCAAAGCGACTATTGGCGGCAAGAACCAAGTGCAGCAGTGACACAATGCCAGCTTTGGTGCGGATAATGCGGGCGCGCTGCTTGTGCCACATCATCGTATGGAATCCGGCCCAAGTCTGAAGCATCATCATATTGCGCGGGAACTCGTCGAGTCCGCGATCCACCAACTGAACCAGCAGCACGTTTCCAAGCACCAGACGATTGGTCGTTCTCTTCTCATGGTACACCTTCTCCAGCTCGCCAAGTGGGGGAATAGGTAACTGGAGCTGCAGGATCTTTATTTCCATGACCTGCTCGCGGAGGAAACGTCGCCGTTCGCTGAACTTGGCGGCCTCCGGACCAAGTTCTTCCTGCAGCAACTTATCAAACATATTTTCTACCTCCGAGTAGCGATAGTCCAGCATGCCCAGCAAACAGCAAGCACGCAACAGGATGAGCAGTTTGTTGGACAGGAAGTACTCCTCCAGGGGCATATCAGCTGGCAGTGTGTCGAGGGCTTTCACCTCCTCCTTCAGCAACTCCAGTCCTCTCTCTAGGGATGCTTTAATGCCGGGCACCGCCCCATTCATTGTTCCTGTACAGGCATGTTGGCCCGTAGATAGACAGCTGAGCACTTGGATTGCCTCATCCCTGCGAGAGCGTTGTATAAGCATCTCTGCGCAAACCAAATAGGCATGCATCAAGTCCGGACAAGTGAACTGGGTGCCTGTCTCCGATTCGGCGGCGATGATCTTGCGAAATATGTCGAAGACTCGGCTATCATCTTGGCCCTGCTCTAGGCCCTCGAACTCGCACATGGCCAACTCCGTGTAGAAACGTAGAACCCGACGATTCTCCGGCAAACGCATCTGGTTGCGAATTCGATCACGTGTCTCTTTCAAAATGGTCTTGGTCAGTTTGCCCATCAGTTTGTTCAGCACCACAAGGAGTCGCTGGAATCTCAACCACAAGAGCAGGAACACCCGACGCTTGCTCTCCTCAGTGCTGAAGGCTTCGCTGCACTTGAGCAGCAGTCCGCTGACGGTGACACCATACAGTTCATGGCCCATAAAGTGCGGCATAAAGCTGGGAGTTACGCTCATCTCCTTGGCCAAGTTTATCAAGGCTGCATAGAAACCAACATTTTTGGCCGAAGGCAAGACATAAGAGTGTCTATCCGC